GACATCTTCAGACATCTTCAGACATTCTGTACGAATCAGTTTCGACTTTTCAAGACTTGCTGCACGGGTTCAATCAGATTCTTACTAGCCCATCTGGCCCGAAGACTATAAAAAAGAAGGGCACCCTGAAGATGCAGGAACCATCACCCTATCTTTCAGTGACCTAAGATAACCTAAAGGATCCTAAGGGATCCTAAGGGCCTAATGTTTCCTCGACAAATTGCTCCCCCTTCGCACCTTGAAGATCATGAAGATCTGGTAGAGTCCGTAGGAGGTCATGGACATGTTCCAACACCTTCAATTGCTCCTCTCGAAAGCGGAGCTTAGTGCTGCATAGCGCTGCCAGTGCTTTGAAGATCGTCTTTTTTCCAGCCAAAGTTTCTGAAGTAAGAAGCAGAGATGGAGAAATGACATTCAAAGACTTTACAGTACCCGCTAGGTTGTCCAATTTTCCAGTAGCCTACTTGGGTGAGACGAACATCCAACCTACTTTGGACTCTAGACTCTAGACAGAGATATAATTCTCAGCCATGAGGCAGCCCTTCCAGACCGTCAATATCTAATAATGAACATCTTCAAAGCGACGTATGTATGATGGAATGACTTAATCATGACAACCGGGTGCTCGACAACCATTCAGCTCCTGATCCGGGAAGCGAACAACAAAGGATCCTCCTGTTTCAACAGAAACGCTGCTATCGATCACGGGAGGTCTATTGCATTCTGTAGGGGCTCACATATGTTATGTTGATTTTGGGAAGGCAACAAACGACCCTGACATGTGAGCTACGTTTTTAGCCTTTGGTAACAGCCAGTGGAGTAGTGACTAGCGGTTTGCATGAGTGATCTTAATCTTAGCATGTCTTAGCTAGCGAGCTGAAATATGTTGCATATGGACCATCATGTGGATTTGGTTGGAACTTTGCCAAGTTCATAGTTCTACTTGCCATAGGCAACATGGCCTCACGATTCAACATCTCTTGGGGACCTGTCGTCACGAAACGTGCTCCTTGAGACCACATCGTCGGAGTCAAAGCGCCCAACAGAAATGCCAAATAGCCAGGGCAAAGCAAGGCACCTTTGATGCGGATGGTCTGAATGGTTGAGAATGGTTGGGAAAAATCAAGAACCCGGACCCAGTCTGTGATTGAGCAACAGGTGCTTCATCCAAATTTATCACAACATATTTGACTGACTTAAACGATCGAGTGCACCGATGAAAACATGTTGAAACATGTTGAAACCTGTTGAAACAGCAAACATGTGTATTTCATCTATAAATACACAATCAATCTACAAACAATCATTAAAAAACAACAACTGTGCACGTGTGGCCAATGAGCGGAAACGACCATGTGCGAGTGAGTCAGGCACGTTTGAGGCTTTGCGACAACTTTGGGTTTGAGATGTTTGAGAGAAAGTTCGCCCAGTATTTCACCCACGACCCACAGTCTGCAGCTTCCCCTGAGTGCGCCTTGGGATACGGGCGCAAGCAGGAGTTCATCTGGTGCCAACATCTGTGCATCCGAGTGTTCAAAGTTGCGACGAGCTCGCAGCCAAACCTGGCACCCATCCACTTGGAACATCTTGGAACATCTTGGAACATCTTGGAACATCTTGGAATTGAACCAGCGACCCTTTTTGAGTCCTGCGGAGTCCAGGAGTGGAGCCATGTCTCAAAGTGAGCGCACAATGTATCAAGCGCAGGAGCCATAGGATGCTGTAGGATGCTGTAGGATGCTGTAGGATGCTGTAGGATGCTGTAGGATGCTGTAGGATGCTGTAGGATGCTGTAGGATGCTGTAGGATGCTGATGTTTCTGGCCAAGGAACCACACTTCTGTGGACACCACCGATGAGCTCTTCCCCCAAACCCAGCTGAAGCAGCTGAGCCGCCTGTGGCTGGGGTCATTGAGCTAGGGCCATACACATGTTGGGCCACAACGGATAGATAGGTGCAGTACAGTACTTGCATACACAGTACTCGCAAAATGCAGTGGCACTATCAATGGAAAAATAGACAAAAACATGACAAAGACCCCCTTATGTGCAAATGTTGGCAGGTTCAGCGCGATAGATGTATTTGTTTGTAAACCGGGAAACAGAATTGACATGAATTGACACATGCCCGTCACTTTCCCTTCAGCGGCTGCACAAGTTTAGAAATCCTTCAATTCTGACCCGAAAAGGTTCCATCAGAGTGACCCTCCTGGCCTGGCAGAGGGCCACTTCTCTACCCACCTCCAACTCCTGCGTCGAATCAAAAAAAGCTAGCAGTTGAAATGATCGAAATGAGGATATCCAGGATGTGTCTGAAGTCTGGCCAATTGGCCAAGTGAAAGTGTTTAGGGAGGTAGCACAAGCGTACTGCGATCATCATGAGTCATCATGTCCAGCCCCTGAGATTTTTCTCCTGGCCCAGCTCCTTCACAGCAGCATCCACTGGTAGACCTGTCGATAAGATGTTTGGTGCAAAAAATGTAAAAATAGGTAAAGACCAGGACCAGGACAGAGATGATTATGTTGAAATGAACTTGTTTCCTATGAAACATGGGGGTTCGAAGTTCGGACATGCCCTCCAACCTTCTTCCAGCATTTGCAGAAACATCTGGAAGCTCCTCTCTTGCCTGCGAGGTGGGCGACAGTCACTTGGGCAAACACAATGCCTTGGAGAGTTTGAACCTAGATACAAGATGATACAAGTATGATACAGGTACATGTAATATCAAGTAATATCATGTAATATCAAGCTCTCAGATTGAATTGGCAGACCAGCCTAGCAAGATAAAGCAAAATCATGCAAAGGCAATAGCAACATATAGCAGCAGCTGAAATGAAAGATCAACATCGGAAGCAACTTGAACCTGATGGCCCCCCACTTTGGACATTAACTCCAGAGTCTCCAGAGTCTCCAGAGTGTAGACTTGAGACTTGACTGGACTCGACTGGACCCATCACTTTCCACTGCCACGGTGCTGTGGCGCCACCACATTTGCGGCACGCTGCAAGATCCGCACTGCTTCAGGTCGTTCCCAAAGCAAACGAATGTCAAACAACAACGATGCCACCTAGGTGAAAAAGGCTCAATGAGTCATGTGAGTCAAGCGATATCACGACATTACATGAAAGTACATCTTGAGTCAGGCTGAGGTGAATATTTGGTCCGGATAATTACTGCGAAAGACATCGAAAGACCATCTCCCAGTAGCTCCAATGACAGATGAGGGTCAACTGAGGAGTAGGTGAAACGAATTTTGAAGCTTCTCTTCGGCTCTGCCCTGACTGATTGATGGTAATTTCATGATATCTAGCGGTTACCATGACTTCACTTCGAAATGCTGAAGTACCTAAAGTTAGGCCAATGGATTTGTTCAATTTTGATCATCTCAACTACCTGGTGACTTGCACAGAGCAAATAGTGCATCAAGGTGTCTCTCTGCATCCCCCAACTGCCACTTTCCGAAGAGTATCATCAATCTGAAACGACAGCCCCAACATTTCTGAGTCCCCAGCCATTGTTGCCACCACCTCATTCTCAGCTGCCCATGAGGCCAGCAGTTTCTCCACATCAGGTAGGCGAGTGATACCTCCAGTGAAGCTGCGCAAATTAATCGAAAGAAACTGTTCGACTTGAAGCCTATTGTATATCAAATGTACAATATAGAATATGAACTATGCAGCTATAGTATTATATTATAGTACAGTATATTAAAGTATATTTAGGCATATTTATGCTAAATTTTATTTAAATTATAGCATATGCATAATTAGTTACTGTAATATTTCAATGATATACTACTGTATACATCTATACGTATACAACGACATGTATCGGATTGTATCAGAACTACTGAAACCTCAAGGTGACCTGGCTCTACATAATGGATAGATATGGATAGATAATGATAGATATGGATAGATATTGATATTCGATAGATATGCTAAATAAACAAACATTACTCATGGTGATGCTGTGAAGTCTGCAGTGTCCCACCTGCCAGAAGACCCAAGACCACATCCATCAGCAACAAATTCCGAGGGTTCCAGTCCTCGGCCAAATGGAATACCAAGATGCCAGATGATGCCAGTATATGCCAGTCAAACCTAAACATCCTAAACACTCCTGGGTCGTTGAAACGTGGGGGGGCGGTTGGGAAGTACACTACAAATGTGAATCCCTGATCCAAAAGCATCCAGATATTCAAATGATTCATGATATTCAGAAGCAATCATAGTTTGGCATGCTAATTCTTCGTTCAGCATGATGCACGCAAGCCCTGCTACCCTTTGCCAAGCTACGTGAGAGAAGAGGGGCTCCACCCATGGCAGTTTCTCAACATGCTGGGCATCTGGAAGACCCAAGCAGCGAAACCATTCCTCAGTGCCAACTCAAAGTCTCATGCCAAAACCAAGCGGTTACGGGAAAAACACTTGTCATTGATCAGGATGGAAAACAAAAAATAACAAAACCAAAGAATAAAATAGAATAAATAGATATTAAATACACATTAATACAGCATACAAAGACTTGCACTTGAAATGTCTTGAAACTACCCGCCATCACCAGCCAGCATTTGCAAAACAACTGGAAGCAGCTTTGCCAAGCTACCAGCGCCTCTGCAGCACAGCGCAAGGGTTGCCGGCTGGGTGCCAGCTGAGTGCGCAAGGCCTTTGCAGCGTGGACCAAGCAGTGCAGCCTCAGTCAGTTTGCTACGAGAGGGACAGTATGGAGTATATAGCTGCACAGTGTGGACGATCATGGTGCCAGTTGTACGCCTCTCGAAGCTTTCAGCTGAGCTTTGCACAGAAGTAGATAGAGTCATAGAGTCATAGAGTAGTAAACTACTTCGCAATTGTGCAAGGTGGGGAAAGGCCACCAGTAGGTTCCACTGGCAATCAAAAACCAGCAAGTCCATGCAAAGAGTCCGTTTCAATCCAGTAGCTTCAGTAAAACCATTCTGGATGCTAGATCCTTGGTTGGGTAAGGCCTTGACGCAATGTGTAGGACATGCTCAAATTTCTGTGTCAATTTTGGCATCATAACACCCTCATGCCAATGCAAAACCCTAATGGTAAATTTGACTAAACGATACTAAATGTGTGCTTCACCTCTGACTGATGCTAGAAGTCTTCAAAACAACAAGTAAATGTCGGCAATGCCAGCCATATTCAGACAATTTCGGATATATTCAGCAATGCTGTGACAAAAATGGCCCGAACTGCCGCCAAATCCGAGGCCGGGCAACATTTGCTGCCCACTGCCGTTGCCACGCTGTCCGGTTGCAGTGTCGCCTCACAGGTTGGGAGTCAGAGGGAACTGAAGCCCAGGTGAAAGATGTGACATTTTCACGATCACGGGCAACTTAGAATACTTCATATCTGGCTCAGCATCACACCCGTCAGAACCTTTGACTCTCTCACCCCCTCTCTCTCTCTCTCATGTTGAAACAACATGAAACAACACTTTCCTGACTAGGCTGCATGGTCATCTTGTAGAATGGGTTTACAGGTTTTTTTGGGTTCCGCGGAAACGCACTTTGGTGCATGGAGCTGTGAATCTGTGAATCTCAAAACAATGCAGCTAGCAGAAATGATGTTCAAGAAGTAAAAGCAAACGCAGGCAGGGAAGAGCAGCACTAAATGTCGCTCAAATTTGCCAATATCCGACTCCAAGAGTCGAAGATAGTCGAAGTATCATGTCAACCGAGCTATAGATTGACGGAGCAGGGGAGTTGCAGCACCCCCATTTTGACCCTGGTGCCTCTCTCATCCAAATGCAGGATCTGCTGAAGTTTCCGCAATGCATGCTGAGCGAAGAAGCACAGATCACCTGGCCAACATCTCACAGGAAATACGGGAAATGAGATCAGACAATCTGAATGGTGCAAGTACTTTGAAGCCCTCAAAAAAATGCAATGTCATTGAGGATCATATTTCATCATCTTACATATCACTCGCATAGTTGCAAATACAAGATATTTGAAGCTTTTTGAAACCACCATGCATCCACTCGTATGATCTCTAGCGATGTTATTCACCGCAGCGTGGCATCTGCACAAGGTGGCACCAGAGAGGAGTTGTGCCAGGAAATGCCACAGAGCTGGTAGCTCCTAGCGGCGAACACACCCAAAACACAAACATCGATAACACATTGGGGGTTCCTAAATTTTCTAAAACAAAGGACCCCCAAAACCATTGGTTTCCCAGGGTGTCCCCATTAGAAAAGACCAAGTCTTGAATGAATTTGCCCCCCCCGAAAGGTATCCAAAGGCAACACATCTTGCACGAATCATTCCTCAACCTCGGTGTGCTGTATGCATTGTATGCATGCACATCACGGAAAGCACATGATAGCACATGCTCCTGGTCCTTTCCTATCGAGTGCAGCCTTGCAGAATTGTCGTGATGTGACAGGCTTGACCCAGAAATCACTGAAAGTTCAGCCAGCGTACGCAGAATGCAAGAAGTTTTCTGCAAAAAGGCACTAATAGGCAAATGTGCACGACTCAACATTGTTTTTAATTCCCTCTAGTCATCTGTTTTGCAAAGCTCCGAGATTTGTGCGTATGGAACCTATCCATGATATGTCTGAAGAAATCGCAAAGATCCATAAAGACATGCTGACAGCATGGCAACCGAGAGGCCTCTGATCATGGAGCCGTTCCAGTAGCAGGCCTTGAATTGTCGCTGTTTTAACATCACTCCGGTGGTAGGGTCGACACGGTCAGCCCTGGCTTCAAACAACTTGAAATGATGAGATCTGCTCTCAAATCCCAGCGCTGACTTCAAAACACATGATGTGCCCTAGCCAACTTATTCAACTGACGAGAAGTTGCTAATTAAGTGTCAAATAAGGACAAATCGCGGACAAGATGCACAAAGCATCAGCTGCCGCAACCGCAGAGTTGGGGTCGTGAAGGCATAAACAAAGCCCTTCCAGAACTGGTCCATGGGACTCAGCAATCGGCGCGATGTTTAGCTGCTGAAGATCTCTGGGACAGGGCAGGGTTCTTCAATAGTCTTACATGCCTCTCTTTGACAATTCCACTTTGTTGCTTGTAAAGGCAGTTGTCTGTGCTTTATGCATCTCTGACAAGCCAGCTTTCAGAATGAATCATCGAATTAGAGCTCCATGTTGATGTCGCAACTGGAGTCAAACCAACACAACCAGTCACTTCGAACTGTAGATCCACAATGATCATCTGACAGGTAAAAACCAGCAAATGAGAAGGACTCCTCCACTGGCTCTGAGTACAGCCATTCCCTTTGCCAGGTCAAATATAATAACCATTCCAACCAACATCAACCATGTGGATTTCCCTTGGGTGCCCCTGACCAGCAGCAACTGGGGTGGCACATCAGAGGCCAGGTTGAAGAGTTCCCGGCAGGCGTCAGAGCGTTGCAGTGAGGCGGAGAATTTCAACCGGACCTGGGGCCACAACACCGGCACAGCTGCTACAATCAATCATTTACAAATTGACCAATCATCATTTTTTTTGGTCAAGGTCAAATTGACATTTACTTGAAATTTACTTTGAAACAATTGGCACACTCATGATCTTTTTTTTCAAGTACCAGGTGCAACCTCATCATGTCGTGTCTGCAAGCAAAAAGATTCGCGGTTTGTTCCGGACGAGCATGATCTAGGACCGAAGCTTTTTGAGCCCCTGGCGGACATATCTAGGAGCAGCTGCTGGTCTGCTTCCCCCAGATTCTGGCATACCTGCAACCAGGAGAACGCTCACAGCATGATCATCGCGCTGAAGCGCTTCCAAACTGCATGATTAAGACTTATGACAAACTCTACCACATCATCAGCATGAGACTCTCCAACCTACTAAATCTTCTGGAATCTCCTTGACAAATCTTGACCGGTTGCAAACCCTCCACAAACCACAACGATATCAAGAGATATCAAGAGATATCGCGAGCGAAGAGATGCCTCTGGCAGAGGTAGCTTCACCGTCTGAAGCTCACGAGGTGCCAGCGACTTTGGTGGGGTCAGAATCTCACCAGTGGCCTGGAGCGAGCAAACAAAGCACTGGCAGTGTCATGTACCAATAATACTATGCAAAGAAAAACAGAATTTATTGTAATGATATGCATGATTAAACATGTATGTGCATACAATGCATGCACAAATGCATGCCGATATACTTGCATGCATGCGTATAATACATATCATATCATACAGTATATGTTTTTCAAAGTGCACGCATATTCTGTATGGCTAAAAAAAGAGCCGAAATCATCCGCATCGCCAGCGGGCTACACGAGCCTTCACCTGAGAGTCTCCAGGTCGAAGTGGTGTGGAACACAGCGCTGAAGGCTCAATGGCCTGCAGGGATGAAGTGCCCCACGGAGGCAACATCGAGTGGTTTGACATGGTTTGCCATTGTACCTATACCAAGCTGCCTCAAGATGCCAAACAGGATCATAACACATAGTCACATAATATATCATAATAATTCATAATAAATCATAATATACAATTACTATACATATCTGTACTGTGACTGACTAAGTTCTTAGGTACTATCATACAAGCTGCCCATCCCTCTCTCCTCTGGGCGGTGGCATAACAGTGCCCACAGTGCAGCATCAAGGGCATCCAAACACTGGCTGGGTGCCTGGCAGTCCCAGTGCGAGAAATTGATCATCAGAAACTGTTTGTGGTTCATGTCCTTGATGAGTTTGCAATATTTTACAATGTTTATATCATTTTTTATTTCAGATCATTTGACTGACTATCTGTCTTATCAGTCTTTTCTTTTGCCTGCAAACTGGGCAAACATGTTTCAGAGCCTGTTCCCTCTGGCACCTGCGGCCGGAAGTCCTGTAGAAAGGCGACGCAGCCGGCCTCGTGGAGCCTGGCAATCAGGTGAATCAACATGGATAAAAAAACATCCAACATGTTGATACACGTTGTGTATTACTAAATTAATCTAAATTATTCTTTTGTATTCTTGTCTGTCGTGGATGTCAAGGGTCCCAATCTAAACACCTAAATCCGATTCCTCCGATTCCTCCGATTCCGTGCTCGCCTGGTGGTGTCCGGATTTTTTGCCAATTTCGCCAACAGTTTGAAAGCCGCATTGAGAAGTTGAGGCTCCACCTCCTGCGGGGGAGGCCGGTTGGTTTGCTGAGGCCATCGCAGGAAGAAAGAGAGAGAGAGAGAGAGAAAGAAAACCTAGAAATGCTGCCCAAAAACATGTAAAAAATTGTTTTTCTTGTTAAGAGTTTGATATTGAACAAGAAAAAAAGGAGAAACACGGAGCTTCTCCTGCCTCACATCTACATCGGCAGCTCCAATTGTCAACCACATAAACATATCCAACCACATCACAGCTCCTGCCGGTCGTTCAGCCAATGCAACACCAGTTGTGGCAGCCCAGGTATCTCCAAGGCCACCTGACGCAGCTTACAAAGTGCGGATCCACAGCTTGGCATAGCTTGGCCAAATGGCTAGTTTTGAAACGGTCCCAGGATGTCCCAGGTCAGTGCATGTCAATGTGCCAAAGTCACAAGTCCAACGCAACCAGTATTGCGGCACATCACGTGGCCATGACGGTTACGGTGAATGGAGAGGTGTCTCATCTGCAGAGTTCCAGCTTCAAGATGCTCCAAGAAATTACAAGAATATCAAAATCAGATTGACAATCTAAATCAAAAGCAAACATATCCTATCAATTTCTATCATCATGGAATGTTTCAGAAAACGTTGTCTCTTTTCGTTCCCGATATCCCCCGCACCCTGTCACATAGCTCTCACATGCCCGCCGCCTCACAAGGCAGCAATCCTAACTCCACTTTCGAAGCCAGTGCCTTGCCCAGGGTTAGTGGAGCAGGTGAGAACTTCACTGTATATATGTGTGTACATATGTATGTATGTGATGTATTATATATATTATATTATATTATATTATACTATATTATATTATATTATATTATATCATATAATATAATATAATATTATATTATATTAAATTATATTATATTATATTATCTTCTATTATATTATCGAAGGAAGTTTAGAAGTCAAACTTCCGACAATGTGGACAGATGAAAAGCAGAGCAGGAAAGAGGCAGAGAGAAGAGGAAGATTAGAAGAAAGAAGAGTAGAAGAGAAAGAGTAAGAAGAAAGAAGATGCAGATGCGCGAAAAGGTAGGAAAGTCGCGAAACACTGTGTTTTTCCAATGATTTGTGGCTCCGGGGGGTCGAAAAGTAGGCTCGCTAAAGCCGCGGGTGCGGAGCCAGCTGGCCAGATGAGTGATGAAAAATTGCGCGCCGTTGTGGCGCGAAGCACATTTCGAAGTCAAAATGCACAAAACACCTCAGCGTCGGACCACTTTTGGAAGTCGCGATGTCGAAAAAGTGCACGCCGTTGTGGCGCGAAGCACATTTCCAAGTGAAAATGTACAAAGCACACCATGCTCGGACCACTTTTGGAAGTTGCGATGTCGAAAAAGTGCACGCCGTTGTGGCGCGAACCGCATTTCCAAGTGAAAATGTACAAAGCACACCAGGGAGGGGCCACTTTTGGCAGTTGAGATGTCGAAAAAGTGCGCGCCGTTGTGGCGCGAAGCACATTTCGAAGTCAAAATGTTAAAAACACCAGGGGTTCGGACCACTTTTGGAGGTTGAGATGTCGAAAAAGTGCACGCCGTTGTGGCGCGAAGCACATTTCCAAGTGAAAATGTACAAAGCACTAGGGGTTCGGACCACTTTTGGAGGTTGAGATGTCGAAAAATTGCACGCCGTTGTGGCGCGAAGCACATTTCCAAGTGAAAATGTACAAAACACACCATGCTCGGACCACTTTTGGAAGTTGCGATGTCGAAAAAGTGCACGCCGTTGTGGCGCGAAGCACATTTCCAAGTGAAAATGTACAAAGCACACCAGGGAGGGGCCACTTTTGGCAGTTGAGATGTCGAAAAAGTGCGCGCCGTTGTGGCGCGAAGCACATTTCCAAGTCAAAATGTGCAAAGCACTAGGGGTTCGGATCACTTTTGGAGGTTCAGATGTCGCTTCGCTTCACTACACTACATTACACTACACTCCACTACACTCCAGTACACTAAATTACACTACACCACACTACATTACACTACACTACGCTCCACTACACTACACTACACTACACCTACACTACACTACACTACACTACACTACATCACATTACACTACACTACACTACACTCCACTACACTACATTACACTATACTACGCTATCTTCCACTACACTTCACTACCTTACACTACACTACACTCCATTACACTACAACTACAACTACACTACATTCCACTACACCACACTACACTCCACTACACTCCACTACACTGCACTCAACTACACTACACTACACTACATTACACTCCACTACGCTACACTACATTCCACTACACTGCACTACACTAAATACAACTACAACTGCAACTACAACTACAACTACAATACATTACACAACACTACGCTACAACTACAACTACACAACTAGACTCCACTACACTCCACTACACTCCACTACTCTAAATTACACTACACTACATTACACTACGCTACACTACATTCCGCCACACTCCACTACACTACATTACACTACACTACATTCTGCCACACTCCACGACACCACACTACATTACACTACACTACACTGAATGACACTGCACCACAGATAGACAGGTAGACAGATAGATAGATAGATAGATAGACGGGTAGACAGCTAGACAGATAGACAGATGAAAGGGAGAGATAGATAGATAGCAGGTAGATAGGTAGATAGATAGATAGATAGGTAATTAGATGAAAGAGAGAGAGAGAGAGAGGCCAGCTGGGTAGAGGAGATAGGTAGATAGATAAATAGATAGATGGATGGATAGATAGAAAGAGAGATAGCTAGATAGATAGATAGATAGATAGATAGGTAGATAGATAGATAGACAGACAGATAGATAGATAGATAGATAGGGCAATAGGGCAATCAGATGAAAGAGAGAGAGAGAGACAGACAGACAGATCTATAGATAGATAGATAGATAGATACATAGAAAATAGATAGGTAGGTAGGTAGATAGTCAGAGAAAGAGATAGAAAGAGTGAGAGAGATCAAGCACCTTTCAGTCCATCAGTGGCTTCGCTCTGCCATCCCTGATTCACAACAACCAACCTCTCCTATAGGTTTCCTATTTTTGAAACTTCCGCCACCGCCTTGTGCGGTACTTCTGGTATTATATTGTACTATATTATATTATATTATATTATGTTATATTATATCATATTATATTATATTATATTATATTTTATATTATATTATATTATATTACATTTTATGTTATATTATATTATATTAAATTAAACTATCTTATATTAGATAAATTATCGAAGGAAGTTTAGAAGTCAAACTTCTGACAATATGGACAGATGAAAAGCAGAGATGGGAAGAGTCAGAGAGAAGAGAAGAGTAGAAGAGAGAAGAGCCGAAGAGAGAAGATCAGAGAAGAGAAAGAGTCAAAAGAAAGAAGATGCAGGTGCGCGAAAGGGTAGGAAAGTCGCGAAACACCGTGTTTTTTTTCAATGATTTGTCGCCCCCGAGGGTCGACAAGTAGGCTCGCTAAAGCGGCGGGTGCGGAGCCATCTGACCAGATGAGACATGAAAAGTTGCACGCCGTTGTGGCGCGAAGCACGTTTCCAAGTCAAAAAGCTAAAAACACCTCACGTTCGGACCACTTTTGGAAGTCGCGATGTCGAAAAAGTGCACGCCGTTGTGGCGCGAAGCACATTTCGAAGTCAAAATGTACAAAGCACACCAGGTCCGGACCACTTTTGGAAGTTGCGATGTCGAAAAAGTGCACGCCGTTGTGGCGCGAACCGCATTTCCAAGTGAAAATGTACAAAGCACACCAGGGAGGGGCCACTTTTGGCAGTTGAGATGTCGAAAAAGTGCACGCCGTTGTGGCGCGAAGCACATTTCGAAGTCAAAATGTTAAAAACACCAGGGGTTCGGACCACTTTTGGAGGTTCAGATGTCCTTTCGCGTGGCAGGCGCAAGGGATTGTGCACCTTGTCAAAAGTGAGCAAAACATGCGGGTTTTGTAGCATTTTCAACTACAACCACCACTACACTACATTACACTACACTACACTCCACTACACTACGCTACATTACACTACACCACACTCCACTACACTACACTACAACTACACTACATTCCACTACACCACACTACACTCCACTACACTGCGCTCAATTACACTACACTACACTACATTACACTCCACTACGCTACACCACATTCCACTACACTACACTACACTAAATACAACTACAACTGCAACTGCAACTGCAACTACAACTACAATACATTACACAACACTACACTACAACTACAACTACAACCACACTACACTACACTAATTGCATTACACTACACTACACTACATTACACTACACTGCGCTACACTAATTGCATTACACTACGCTACATACACTACACTACACCACACTACCCTCAATTACACTACACTACACTACACTACCCTACCCCACATTGTATTACATTACATTACAATAATTCCACTCATTACACCACCACAAATGCAACTGCAACTACACTACACTAATTACACTGCACCATAAGTACAACTCCAACTACACTACAACTACAACTACAGCTGCACTACACCACACTATATCCAGCAGTTGTGGGTGAGGTGACCGACCAGGTGACCACTGCAACCATTGCAGCCACTCCAAAAAACACAGCTCCAACCACCTTTCGGTCCATCAGTGGCTTCGCTCTGCCATCCGCGATTCACAACAACCAACCTCTCCTATAGGTTTCCTATTTTTGAAACTTCCGCCACCGCTTTGTGCGGTACTACTGGTATTATATTATTTATATATCTATTAAATTATATTTCATATTATATGTATATATATATATTAATATATATTATATATATATATATGTTATATATCATATATACACGCCTTTTTTGCAATCTGTGACCGAACTGTTGTTAGATGTTGTTAAACCACATTTAAATAATTCTTCAAACATCTTCAAAAAATGGTTCGGGTCTGCAAAGGATTAAAGGTGAACTTGTATGCAGCTGTCTGGTGACATGGCACAAACTTCCTGAAATGTGAAGTTCAAAATATCGGTCCACTCTTGTGACGAATCGCTTTGTGAAAAGAAATGGTTTGTCCTCTTCCAACCAAAACAAGAGCGCGGCTGCCCACCTTTAACGCTCGGTCTCTGATCTCAGGCAGACGTTTGGGTGACAGCTTTCCGGCCTCGGGAAAACATCTTATTCGCGATGCACTGATGCATAGTATAGAGCATCGACTCCACACTGGTCTCAAGGACGGACAACATTCTCGGGAGGTTTGAGATGTACAGGACCACATATTGAAATATATTGAACTATTGGCAAGAAGGGTGAGAC